TCTCATATATCTAATATATGTATAATCAACTATTAATAAAAGAGATAGAGGATAGACCTCTCTTTAAAAAAAAAATAAAAAAAAATAAAAAAAATAATTCAAGGATATAATAGATCATGCAAGATAATACATCAAGCCCAAGAGTCCTACCCAAAACCCAAGAGTCTAAATCATATTGAGTCATGTAATTTGACATATCTAGTATTGTTTGCTTATTTACGTACGGGCGTATGTACAGTACGTACATACCAGACATAACAGATACTGTCTAGTTCTATCGCTATATACTATTTAGTAAGACAATATAGCAATACAATGTCAAACAACTTGTTCCATCATTAAACATTAAGTCTAGACTTTATGCATGTCCCGAATTAGCCCATATGTGTATATGAGTATATACGAAACAATTTTTTTTTTACCTCTGATTTCAATCACAATTGCCAAGCTTCTGTCAAGAATCTATAAATTGTAATCTTTCTGGTCTAGATTATTATATTTAGTTTGCCAATATTGAACCATTTACATAAACTTGCAAATTTAAACCTTATAAATAAAAATCATAAAAAAAATTATTATATTTTCTATATTATCTAGTTCATTTTAATATATACTTTGATTGTGATAAACAATTTCAATTGGGCTACAATAATTTCTTATTTATACATGATATGTTTTTTTACTTCAATTGTTCACGCTTCTTTATATATTCTAAATTATAAATGTCCAGAAGAAGACACCCTTCAGAAATGTCTCAATCATTATATTAAAGGTTCTATTTATTATTGCAAAGATTTTGCCTATAAAGATGATATTTTATTTCAATTTAATGCACTACAGTAGTTCATTTTCTGGTAGCATTTGTTCATCCAGTAAATGCATTGGATATTCAGAGTGCTATTAAATGTGGTGCAAAGTTAAATTTTACTGTAATTGCAAGATCAGGTGGTCATTCTCTTGAAGGTTATAGTATTGAAGATAGAGATTGTGATTTAATTGTTGATCTTAGATATATGAATAAGATTATCATGGATATGGCAATACAAACTGCTATAATCGAAACAGGAAATACTCTAGATACACTATTTCGTAGTTTGAATGAGCATGTATTTGCTTTTCCAACTGGTGAATGTTCTACAGCTAGTGTTGATGGCATTATTTTGGGTGGTGTAAGTACTGTATTGTTTGAAATTTTTATTAAGTATTTTTTTTTACTATTTTAACTATAACAGATAAGAATTTTTTTCAATAGGGTCATAGATATTTAATGCGAAAGTTTGGAATGTCATCCGATAATATTCTTGATGCTCAAATTGTCTTAGCAAATAGAACAATAATTAATCATGCTAAAGGATATCATGATCTTTTTTGGGCTCTTCGGGGTGCTAGAAATGCAGGCTATAGTATTGTTACTACTTTAACTCTTAAGATTTATCCTATTCTGAAAATCGTAACTAGTATAAATTTTACTTATGATTTTGATCAGACTTAATTAGTAAATTCAGTGATAAATAAATTGGGAACAGTATTCATCAAAATTTAACTTTAATGTTCAATCATCAAAATGATATTACATTCAACATTTTGGGGATTTATCTAGGCTCTTTAAATGAAGCAAAACCTCACATACAAGAATTTATTAAATTGACTAAATCTAAAAATGAATCATGTATTGAATTAGATTGGTATTATGCAAATATAGCAGATATGACTAGGCAAAACTGAAATCATTATAAAATTACGTCTTTCTATATTGACTTGCCAGGATTATCTTATGAAGGTGTTGAGTATTTAATAGAATTTATGAGAAATTTCAAATGTGAATTTTTGGTAAGAACAATATTAATTGGTGGTGGAAAAGTTAACGAAATTGAATGAAATGAGACGGTATTTCTTTACAGAAATTCTATGTATATTATGGGAATTTTAGCAACCTTAGATGAGGATAACTATGAAATCTGTATAGAAGATTTAGAAAGTTTTTCTCGAGTCTTTCAAAAAAATTATACTAGTTTTGAAAGTTACCAAAACTACATTGAGAGAATTAAATAATTGGCAATGCAGATATTATGGAGAATCTTTTGGAAAATTAGTAGAAATTAAACAGAAATACGATCCTAATAATTTATTTAATTGGAATCAAAGTATACCTACTACTACTAAAATTTCGTGTTATTAGTTAAAAGTTAGTCAGAATTAATATTTTATGCAAAATTTTAAATTTAAGTAAATCAAAAATTTTGTAATTAGTGATCCACAAAATAAGCAAATATTGATTTAATCAAACTAGTATTGGAAATCTAAATCGATTTGAATATTAGATATTTTTTTTTTATGTTTATTAATAAAAAATTGAAAAATTGATGTTCTCAGAGAATATTGAGAACATCAGATTTCTACACTGAATCAAACATTTAATCTTCGAATTTTTAATTCACTAAATATTTTGATTCTAAATTATCAATATATATGCTCTTTACTAATATTAAAAAAAAAAGCATAAAAAATGTATTATACATATATATTTATTTTTTTTTATAATAAGGGATTAGGCATATATGACTTTATTAGATAATCGACCACTTAATGAAACATTAAAATTTTTTGCTATAAATAAAAAGACTGATTAAGTTATACAAGGGTTAGTATAAAAGAAAATTTGTTTTTTTGTTTGTTCTGACAAATAATTAAGATGGGAAATTTTGGTTTGATATAGCTATCTTTGCCATATTTGATTTCACCCTGTGATTGTTTTTATATAATATAGTTACTTTCTACCATATATGAAAATTTGCTAATCATTTTTTGTGCATTGTGTTTAGTGATACAAACGGTTTGAGTCAAGCCAAAAGCCAAATGGCTAAGCCAAGCCGATTAATAGCTTGGCTCTGAGTTTACTAATAAGGCATTGGCTCTAAAACGGCTCAGCTCTAGACCTTTAAAGCCAATATGAAGCCGAGAGCCAATTAATTTGTATCACATGACTATAATCCAATAGTAAATGATGAAAATACTGTAATTTTATTTGATAGTTCAGGTAACATGGTAATGTATAAGCTTTAGCATTAGTGGCGAACATTCTGCTAAAAAAAAAAGTAAATTGTGTGCTATGTATAAAAAATATTATATACGTATAAGGGCCCAAAATAACTGCGATGTTATTCAAGCCTGTAGCTTGATCGTTATTAGTATAAGCAATGTAAGCATCGAAAAATATAGTTATTAAGCGCATAAAAAATGTAGCTATCGATTGTAAATTAGAAAGAAAAGAAATTTTTTTAAAAATTAATAAATTTCATTTTCTTTGTATAAAATTACTTATTATTATAACAAACCACTATGATGTCAAGTAATGCACTGCGAATTGGCATGATGTTTACTAATATGGAAGATGTTCGTTCAGTTCTAAAGAGCTACTCTGTTGAAACTTCTTCGCCTTATAAATAATTATGCTAGTTTAACGCTATTTTTTATACAATATTTAAACGAAAATGATTATAACCAGCAGTTTATTTGTTCCAAAAGTTATGAGAACAGCTATAATATTAAAAAAACAAAAAGAAGCCTTCAAATGCTAACTTTCAAATTTAAATATTAGAATTCGTGTTTGTGTCTGATTGGATAGTTTGCTTATATAGGATAGCGGCTTGTGGCTCAGCGCAGCTCAAGGTTAATCGGCTTACAAACGGCTTGGCTCTGACTTTGGAGCCGAAAGATCGGCTCAGCTTGGTCAATGCAAGCCGTAAGCCGAGCCAAGCCAAGCCAAGCCATTTGTATCACTAATTGTGTTGCTATTTTGCAGGGATTGACAATAAAAATTTCCTCGCAAAACCTAGAAAGGAAATTTTTACTTTCTCTATTTTTATATTAACGTTAATGATTGCGACAGGGACATGTGGATTTTGTGATATAATTTAGCAAATTATGTTTTCGATATCAATAAATTATTTGATTTACTGCTGATTAATAATAAAAACACAGATTCAATTACAGTTACTTATCTGTACATAAATTTTAAAAATTTATATAATAAATAAACTTACAATTTTTTAAAAAATATGTTGCACTAAATTTCATTCAGACTGTTTACGTTTTATACTCGTTATAAAAGTGCTTGTCATATCCAAACTGCTATTATAGCTTTATTTTCCTGATAATATTATATATTCTAAAAAAAATTATATATTTCATTATATAGTCGACTCTGTATATATCAGCCTCAATATAATGACTTCTGGATATAACAAATACAAAATTTTAAATTTAATAATAGTTCAGTATAGAAAGTGCCATGGGTTCTTAAGAAAGCATAGTAATTTTCCACAATTTTTTTTTTTCAAAACCGGTATTTGGTTATAGAAAGAGTTGACTTTAATTCTGTTTGCTGAACAAAATACTATTTAATAGCAATTAATTATACTTCGCTAAACAAAATACTATAAGAATTTATTATATTTGCCAAAAAATATCTATAGCAGGTTAATATGCTTGAAAAATATAAGTCCCGCTTGAAAACTACATTTTACTATATCAAAGTAAATCAAAGTAAATCGCAGTAAATCACAGTAAACCACATACTTTCTGTAATTTGCTTCGATCACAGCAAATCACAAAATCTACACGTTCCTGAATTGTGACTATAATTGCAAATAAATAGCAAGATGCTAGGGGCTAGAAGTCAGTAAGAGTAAAATTATCAAAACAATCGAATTAAAATATCGTTTTTCATTTTTTATGACTGCTTTCGTCAATATTTACATATAAACTTATTATACTTTGATTTTTTTATATTTCTTCTTTCAGATTTTTTCCAGTCTGATGAATTGATAATCAATGATCATCAAAGACCAAGCAAAGAGCATAACGAAAACGTTCGTTTGTTAATTAATTATAGTTATTTTATAAAATAAATAAATAATAAATAAATAATAAATAAATATTTGATAGTCGTTTATTTAATTATTATTGATAATAATAATTAATTAATTAATTAATTAATTATTCGAAAGTCGACATCTTGTGACTGAAAAAAAAATCTAAAATGGTGACTTATTTTTATTATAAATAAAAATTTATAATAAACTCACTATTCTTAAACTTGCAAATCTTTTATTTAAAATTTCAATCTCTCTAATCACATCACAATTAATCATAAATAAACTTATAAACCACTCAATTTTATATCATTAATTATAACATTTATTAAAATTATTTCGCCTATATAAATAGGATGCTTTTAGGCATCTCTCGCGAGAGATACATTTTCCACAAGGAGATATATATTCCAACCATCCCAACCAATCAAAAACCGCAAATATCACATAACACGATCCTAAAGTACTAGACATATTTGTACTACTTGGACCTTTATTTTACCGATCAACTTCGGACAAAAAAAACCAAAAAATACTTCGTCCTAGTATCGTGCTACGTATTTAATTTTTTCACACCCCGCATAGCTAATTTATTTTAATTTGTCATATTTACGTCATACAGTATTTAATTAAACATCATCGCATAACGATTATAAATTTTATTAAAAAAAAAAAAAAAAAAATGCACAACATCAACAAAACCCAAAACCAAGAATATCGTCACACTGACGATAACATTAACAATGGCGACTTCACTAATACTTGTTGCCGATTTCACGTCACAAAGTATGCAATGAACATCAACAAACCCCAAAAACCAACGAATATCATCACACCAACGATAACATCAACAATAGTGACTTCACCAAAACCTGGTGCCGATTCCACGTCACAAAGAACCTAAAAAACCTAAACAAACCAAAGAAAAGAAAAAACATTTAGCGAACACAGGAATATAACAAAGAAAGAAAAAAAAAAAACAAAAGAAAACTACTTACCAAGAGCGCTGATTCCAGCCTGACAAAATCTAAACAAGCCAAAAAAGAAAAAAGAATAGTTAGTAAATATTCAAAAAAAAATAAAGAAAAAAAAGGAAAACTAACTACTCACCAAGAGCTATGTCCGCGCAATTCCCAGATCCAACGAAGACAAGACAAGCCCCGTATGAAGAAAAAATGCCTAAAAAATTGAAAAAAAAATTAGTAAAAAACTAAAAACATCAAAACCAAATCCACAGTGAAAAAACGCACATAACCACTTATAAGAATGCCAGAAAAGAATGCAA